CCTTTATTTCGTGGACTTGTCTGCAGCTATAGCTAGCACCTCTGCTCCGACATCTCCTTTGCTTCCAGCATCTCTGCATTCCTCAAGTTCTGCTCTCTTGAGCATTCCCAGTTTTAACTCCTGCTGGATTGGGACCAGACCTTCAGCTCCCAGCTCCTATCCCTGGAAAGGCCTTGCCTGAAAAATCTCATGTGTCTGCTGCATGAAGACACTCCTGAACTTAGCTCTCTGACCAAACTTTGTACTGTTTGTCCTAATATATTTTTTCCTCAGCAAATTACCGCCAAATCCTTGTCTTGGTTTAAACTGGACTGAAGGAGCTTAGTATTGTTTGGAGACTTTTAAAAAGGTGCTATAAGTCTCAGTTGTTTGTGTAAAAGGATTCACTGATGGCAGGTTAAAGACTAGAATGGTTACATTCCACCTCTCCCTACATTCCCAGTGGCTGAGTTACCAGTTATTGTGATCCCTGCCTCCTGGATTCCTGTCCGTATAGAGTTACTGCATGGATTCCAGCTATTATGGCAAACAGGTTTCAAATAAAAGATGGCTATCTCTTTGTTGGGTTATTGTTGCCAAGGGGTGTTCAAATATTACTCATTGCCACCACAAGGAAACAGACCCTTCAGCCCAATTCAGTCCCACATTCTCCCCACTCTCCAGGTGAAGAGATTTCTTCGGAGTTCCCGATTGGATTCTAGTGGGTAACTGGAAACAGCTAGTGTAGGTCCAGCTTATCAAAACCTCCTATGCATATCCCCATTGGAATCGCTAAAGCCATTTCGTAACTTGGCAGAAACACCAGGGTGCAAAATTCCTTCGGGGCAACGGCCCTCAAACTGTTCTTTGTGCCAACTCAGCATTCTCTCTGTCTGTGCAACCACGAGATTGTTATCCAAACTTGTTGAGGGGGTGCATTGTGTAAAGCACACAGCTGCTCCTGTTCAGCCCCACCTAATAATGCCAAGGGAGAAACGATGCAGGGTGGAAGGGAAATATTTCTTGCAGAATGTACATTAGACACAAACGGGTCTTGTTTAGATAACTACTTGTGCTAAATCCTATTATTTAATTCCAACAAATAGCAGACACTTGGCTGGTGTGATCACATAGAACATACAGCAAACTGATTACAGACCAGAGACCACACGACAAACCAGCATTCAGACAGAAGGAACCCTTCCAGGTTTCAAAACCAAAAAAAATGTAGGAAATGCTTTTTGAGCTTCAACTTGGCTCCAGAAACACACAAAAAAAAAAGCAAAACAGCAGCTTAGAGTCGAGGGAAGATTGTGGGACCTGAGAGAAAATGGGGAATTGTTGTCCCAATCAATGAGTGCTGGGACCTCAGCAAATTCAGATAAAAATCCAGACCAATCCACAGCAAATTCTGCTGTTGTTCGTCTGATGGTGAAATTGGGAAGGAAAAGACTGACTTGCATTTCTATAACATCTTTTACAACCACAAATATTTAGCAAAACACTTTTCAGACACTGAGGTAAGTGTTTTGAAGTGTAGTCACTGTTGCGATCTAGGAAATACAGCAACTGGTTTTGTACACAGCAAGATTCCATACACCATGACCAGGTAACCTGCCTTACCAGTGTCGGCTAAGGGATAACTACAGGGGACAACATCCACTTTGCTCTTCTCCAAAAACTGTAGCAAAGGATCTTCTGACATTCCCACAAGAGTACAGACTGAGATCGGTTCAAAATCTCACCATCAACAGTGCAACACTCCCTCAAGTACTGCAGAGATAGCCTTGGGTTGGTTGTATTCTGGTCTCTAGAGTGGGTCTCAAACCACGAACTTCTAAGTCAAGAGACAAGAGTGCTGCATTCTGAGTCTCATCCCCCACCAGTCAGGAATGGGGGAGACATAAGTGGAGGGCAAGGATGGGGGGTCACACAGCAGTAGGAACGCAGTTAAATAACATGGAAGGCAGCATCAAACCATAGCAAGGCAGAAACAAGACTAAGTGAATGAGATAGAAAGGGATCAAATTCCTGATGAATGGAGGAACAAAGAGGTCATTTTCCTGGGCGAAATTACAAAAGCAAAGTGGTGCGCAGCAGCAAAGACTACTGGAAATAGAGAAATACTTCAAAATTCCAACGCAATTTGACCAGAGTCAAAAATCAGAGGGGGAGCCTATTTCTGAACAACCAGGGTACAAAAGCTAGGAGGCACTGCATCAACAGATGTGAATTAGGTCTCCAAGATTCTACAGCACATTGCTGGTCTCTGCATTATTACATGGCTATTGCAAAATTGAAGAAAGTGCAGAAAATATTAATAAAATAAAGGCAGAATAATTAAAGAGGTGCAACTGTTCACAAAGATTGAAAAACCATTCTTTTCAGTTCTAAAGAAAAGACCAGGTGTAGGCTAATGGTTTTTTTTATTCACTCTAAGGCTATGGGTGTTGCTGCCTGCGCCCAGCATTTATTGCCCATCCCTGGTTGCCCCTTGAGAAGGTGGGGGTGAGCTGCCTTCTTGAACCCCTGCAGTCCACCTGCTGTGGGTTGATCCACGATGCCCTCAGGGATGGAATTCCAGGATTCTGACCCAGCGACAGTGAAGGAACGGCGATATATTTCCAAGTCAGGATGGTGAATGGCTCAGAGGGGAACTTGCAGGGGGTGGTGTTCCCATGTATCTGCTGCCCTTGTCCTTCTAGATGGAAGTGGTCGTGGTCGTTTGGAAGGTGCTGCCTGAGGATCTTTGGTGAATTTCTGCAGTGAATCTTGTACAGTTCTGATGAAAGACACTGAGCAGAAACTTGATTGTCTTTTCACGGATGCTGTTTGACCTGCTGCACAGTCCCAGTTGTTATTTCCAATCTCTAATATCTGGAGTAGTTTGCTTTTGTATCAGTGTCTGAGGAGTATCGAGTGAAACGGAACATTTATCAGCAAACACCCTGTGTCTGACCTTGTGATGCAGTGAACAACGTCACTGATGAAGCTCCTGCCCTGAGGAATTCTTGCAGAGATGTCCTGGAGCTGAGATGATTGACCTCCAACAACCATGACCATCTTCCTATGTGTCAGGTGTGACTCCAACCACCGGAGCGTTTGCCCCCGATACCCACTGATTCCAATTTTGCCAGGGCTTCTTGATGCCACACTCAGTCGAATGCAGCCTTGATGTCAAGGGCTGTCACTCTCACCTCACCTCTGGAATTCAGCTCTTTTGTCTATGTTTGAACCAAGGCTGTAATGAGGTCAGGAGCTGAGTGGCCCTGGCAGAACCCAAACTGGGCGTCACAGAGCAGGTTATTGCTGTGATGCCAATGGGGCCGCCCATTATGTTCCCACAATGTTCCCTCTAATCTGTTTCAGTGCATAGTCTGGACGGTAACTTGAAAGAACTGATTAGACTCTGAACAAATGAGTTGCTGTTTTGCCATGCAGTTCATAGGGATTACCGTTTCTGTCACTTTACTGATGATCGAGAGGAGAGTGATGGGGCGGGAATTGGCCGGGTTGGATTTGTCCTGCTTTGTGTACACAGGACATACCTGGGCAATTTTCCACATTGTCGGGTAGATACCGGTGTTGTAACTGTACTGGAACAGCTTGGCTAGGGGAGCGGCAAGTTCTGGAGCACAAGTCTTCAGTACTATTGCTGGAATGTTATCAGGGCCCATAGCCTTTGCAGTTTCCAGTGTCTCCAACCGTTTCTTCATATCACATGGAGTGAACCGAATTGTCTGGCATCTGTGATGTTGGGGACCTCTAGGAGAGGCTAAGATGGATCATCCACTCAGCACTTCTGGCTGAAGATTGCTGCGAATGCTTCAGCCTTATCTTTTGCCCTGATGTGCTGGGCTCTTCCATCATTGACGACGGGGATATTTGTGGAGCCTCCTCCTCCAGTAAGTTGTTTAATGTCCATCACCATTCATGACTGGATGTGGCAGGACTGCAGAGTTTAGATCCAGTATGTTGGTTGTGGGATTGTTTAGCTCTGTCGATCACTTGTGGTTTATGCTGTTTGGCATGTAAGTAGTCCTGTTTGGTGGCTTCACCAAATTGACACCTCATCTTCAGGTATGCCTGGTGCAGCTCCTGGCATGCCCTCCTACATTCTCTATTGAACCAGGGTTGATCCCCTGGCTTGCTGGTAATGACTGAGTTGGGGGATATGCCGGGCCATGAGGTTACAGATTGTGAATGTATGTTGGTCTGTTTATTCAGGAGCAGGAATCAGAAGGATATACAACGGTAGAGGGGTAAGAGTTAATGAGAGGGGGAGGAGAATAAAGATTGGTTGGAACAGATCCACTGTTTCTACCTGATACTATTTCTGACATGGCTTTGCTTTTTTCGTCCACAATCTCACACTCACACACACACACAGGCACAGAGCAAAGCGGCTGTCCGATCTATCAATCTTCAAATTAAAATTTATCTTTATCAATGGAGAAAAGGTAAATTTTGCAAAGTACTTTTTTTAATGTTCCTGTGTGAATGCAACCTTACATCATAACAGGCCCGCCTTTCTAAATCCAAACTACACACAATGGCCAGTCACAGGTGAGCCGAAGGTACCATTTTATCTCAATGTTTGTGGATATTGCTGTGCATGGCACACAGAGGAAGAGAGGAAAAGGTGGGGAGGCCATTCCAGTTGGGACACACACTGAGATAAACATCTCCCACATTCTGCAACCCAGGGGATGGAGGGAGGGGAGAAGCTATAACTTTCAGTAAATACACTCAGGGCCTCTGTACCTGCCACCATTTTAGTCAGCGAGAGAACAGAGAGGACAGATACAGCATGGTGTACGAAACAGATGATGGTCTGATGCACCACAGACCATTCCTGTCTCCAGTTTTAATTAAGATTAGGATTCCAACACGTGGATTCTCATTATTCTGCATCTTTTTGGGCGGGGGAAGGCAGAGACAGAGAAAGAGGAGGCGAGGGGAAGTAATCGACCATGCTCAGGGAGATAAAAAAAAATGCACACTCTTTCCGTTCCTGTGTGCAGGCGGTTAAGCAGAACCTAAGCCCCACAAAAGATAGAACACACAGTACATGACCCCCCCCCCCCCCCCTGTGCAAGGCTGAATGGCCTCCCACACAGTATCGCCCCCTGCCCAAAGCACTTACCTCCACCGTTCTTGTAGCAGAGATAAGGAAATCTCCAGACGTTCCCAAGACCAATGAAGCCTCCGGCGACGGACAGGATAAAGTCGAGTTTGCTGGCCCATTTCTCTCGCTGCACCTTCCCATCTGCTTCATCCTCGGGCCGGGTACCCGGACTCTTCCCGGGGGAGGGCTTCAGGGTGTCTTTGTGAAAATCTTTTAAAGAATGCATCTTTTCACCCCGGGCCATTCCTGATCACACACACACACACACACACACACAAGAGGGAGGAAGGAGGAGAAACAGAGGGGGGTTTAATCAGGACTGATCCTTCCAAAGACACACAGCACCAACTCTATCTCATTTTATATCTGATCACTTTATTCCAATATTAAAATCAATCCCCATTGTGTCTCCCCCCCCCCAACCAATCCCCCCACAATAAAAACACTTCCATTCTCTATTAGGATTTAATCCATTCTCTATTCTGCCTTGAAAGTAATATTTATTCTCTCTCCTGGATTGTATCCGCCTCAGCCCCCTCTGTATAAATCCCCATTTACAAATGGGGAGAGCACGTTGTGCATATTCTGCTATGTACATGGCCCCTCTCTTTTACAAATCCATTTTCAGTTCGTTAATCTCTTCTACATCCCCCCTCCAAAACACATACAGACACACACACACACACATACATACACATACACACATACAGACACACACACATACATACACACATACAGACACACACACAGACACATACAGACACACACACAGACACACACACATACACACAGACAGACATACACACAGACAGACATACACACAGACAGACATACAGACACACACACACTCAAAACACTTCCCTCCATACCTCACCCGTGTGAACCTGCTCTGCTTTTCCATAAAAAAAATAAAAATCTATGCTTCTCTGAAAAGATTTTTTTTTTCATTACAGACGAGGTTAATTATCTCGTGTGTGTGCCTCTTAAATTTTTTTGTGTGTTCTTTTTACAAAACAATTTTTAAAAATGCAATAATTCGCTACATACAACAATACATACAACAAAAGCAGTACTGTACTCCAGGGAATAACGCCCTTACTCTTGGTCCAGTATTTGTCCAGCCTTCTGTTTGAGAGAATAAATAAAAAAAACAGAAAAACAACAAAAAAAACGAGAGAGAAAGAGAGAGAGAGAGAGAGATACAACTTTCCGGGAAAAGGGTCCAATACAATTCGCAAATAGTCACGGAAAATACAGCAGATTTTTTTTTTTATTCTTTAAAAAAAACCCTTCCAAACCAAATATCACCTTCCTACATATATTTAAAAACTGTCAGGAAAATGATCTGAGCGGATCATTAAATCCTGTTAAAAAAAAACCGCTCAGCAACGTTTTCTTGTCAAGGGGACAGACCTGTTATTTCCAAATGGTCCCTTTGTTTCCAGACAACGAGAATTAATAGGCGTTCGCCTACACCATTTGCCAGCTTCTCTCAAATTTTAAAATCACACGAGGATGTGTTTAAATGCAAAGTCCTCATTGTGAGAATGGGTTTTTATAAAGACGTTGTGTCTCAGAAATCCCAACATACACAAAGCCCCAGGAATCGATTTTACAAATTGCAGTTCACGTGTTAAAAAATTCACCCTTCCCTAAACGTTTCAAAAAAAAACTAGACTTTATCTATCGCTGAAAAATGTCCCAGAATCGTTGTTGGTTACCTGTGCCTGGGATCCCAGAGGCTAGAGGATCCCTTAGTTGCTCACAGATCACTCGGTTACTTTACTGCAACTGAATCGGTGACTGGTGAAAGAGTGGATTTCATTTATAGGGCCCTGTTCTTAAGCAGCCCTCCTTCAACACTAACCCCAACATAAGTGGAAAAACCCCAGAGCTAAGCTGCCTCTCTGCGTCAGCACGTAAAAACTGGCACGGCTGTGAGAAGAGAGAGCGAGTGAAGGAAAGCAGCTTTGTGGTTCGTCAGAAGAGGGAGATGGTACTCCTGGGATGTACAGGCACACAGAAACACATACACGCAGAAAATCACATTCAGAGTTACAGACAGAAACACACACACACATACAGAAAATACCTACTCAAACATTGAAATACACACAGCTATAAACAATACAGTCAGAGGTACACCCAGTTACATAAAATACACACAGATTCACAGACACACACACATACAGACACACAAATTACACACAGACATACCCAGTTACACAAATTACATACAGACATACACAGAGACACACACACACACACTGAGATACATACATGCATAGAATCACAAAATACACAGAGACACAGACTCAGAAACACACTCTCAGACACACATACCACTCTGAAAAACATGCACTCTGCTAGACACACATAAACACTCAGATAGAAACACTCTCTGTCAGACACACACTATCACAGTCATTCCTACAGAGATACAACTCATAACAGACACTGTTACACACACACACACACACACACACATTGTCACAGACATACTCAAATATTTAGACAGACACTCTCCCAAACACACATACAATCACTGCCATTAAAGCCAATTACATCTTTTTACCAGAATCCTACATTCCTCTGCTGCCTGCAAACTGCACCCCCCCCCCAATATTCCTCTGCCTCCACACACCCACCCCCCTTCCCTCTGCTTCTCTTATTCAAGAAATGCCCTCCCAGTCACGTAGCACACTGGCTGTTTACATTTCTTGCACTTTACAATAAGGGCTGTGCAGCCAGGGATATAACCCTTACTCCCACCCCCACCTCAGCATTGCAGTCACTCCTCCCTCTCTGTTCCTTTGTTCTGTCTTTGGCCCTGCCACATTGTTTGAGAGGGTTGGGGCTTTGTGGGAAGAGAAGGCCTGCCTGACTGAAAAAAAAACATCACAAAGTGCAGTCTCAAAGCCTTGCTCCTTTCCTGCTGGCAATGCAATGGTTAACCCTTTGCTGTAAATATTGTCTGTGCACCAGAGTTGGAATACAACTGTTAACAGGGCTTTCTTAACGCCTGGCCTGGTGCAGCTAACCCGGGAGATTTTGTATCTGAATACAGTCAACAGGAAACCATGCCATGTGAGTGCACCCATTTTGTATCACCAGGGACACCCATTTTAGAGTTTTCGCGCTGACAGTTTCAGAAGCTTTCTGATAGTTACACTGGAAACTTCAGCAGCCAACATACCAATAGCTCACTTTTATAGAGTGTCTGTGAGCTAGTAAAACATCTAAAAGCCTTCACACAATAATAAATTAAGTTTCCAAGCCACAGAAAGAGATTTAAAGGCAGGTTATTACAGACATAGAAAGATATAAAGCAGGAACAGTAGTAGGCCAGAGATAACAAGGTGGGTCCAGGCCCGAAACATCAGCTTTCCTGCTCCTCTAATGCTGCTTGGCCTGCTGTGTTCATCCAGTTCTATGCCTCGTTATCTCAGCCTCCAGCATCTGCAGTTCCTACTATCTCTGAAACAGTAGTAGGCCTTTTTGGTGCTTTGAGCATACTGATGACCAGAGCTGATGATTGAGTTCAATGCCTCATCAAAAAGACTAGATGTCCCGTTTTGCCAGGACCATCCCAGTCTTTCATTACATGTCTCAGTGTCCTGTGAAATTTCCAAAAACATTTCAGATGCTGTGCTTTTCCCTTTTCCTTTTCATCAAGTATGATGGGAGACAGAATGTCAGCATCCACATTGTGATATTCCTGCAGTGGTCCTGATCCCCCGCCTCCCCCATCACTCCTTCCATATCTCCAAAGGGGCTGGCAAAACCTTTGGTGGGTGCCTTGCCGGTGGTGCTTTTAAACCATTTTAAAACGATTGATAGAAGCCAATCTGCCACCCATGGACTCCATCTGCAGTTCTCACTGCCTCAGGAAGGCAGCCAACATCAAAGACCGAGTCAATAAATGTGGAACTGGAAAAGCACAGCAGGTCAGACAGCATCCAAGGAGCTGGAAAGTCAATGCTTCTGGCCGAAACCCTTTGACAGGACTCCATCCAAAGGGTTTCGGCCCAAAACATTGACTTCCCTGCTCCTCGGACGCTATCTGGCCTGCTGTGCTTTTGCAGCTCCACATTTATTGACTCCAGCTTCCAGCATCTGCAGGCCTTACTGTCTCCATTCCATTAGCCCTTCCTGATTACATGCTGTACTTATGCGCTAGTTTTCTGTGTTTCGTGTACAAGATCCCCTAAGCCCCTTTGTGTTGCAGCTTTCTGCAGTCTTTCACCACTTAAGTAATGCTCTGTCCTTTTGTTCTCCCTTCCAAAATGAACAACTTCACATTTTCCCACATTATACTCCATTTACCAAATTTTTACCCACTTACTTAACCTGTCAATGTCTCTCTATAAACTGTTTGTAACCCTCCCATTATCTGCCTTTTCAGCTATTTCCGTGTTGTCTGCAAATCTGGTTACGGTACATTCACTTCCTTCCTCCAAGTCATTAATATATACTATGAACAGTTGCGGTCCCAGCATTGATCTCTGTGGAGCCCACTGATCACATGTCACCAACCTGAAAAAGATCCCCTTATTCCCACTAAAATCAAACAAAGACCTGAAGATCAAAAACAGAAGTTGCTGGTTCTGAAGAAGGGTCACCGGACCCAAACATTAACTCTGACACTTTTCTTCACAGATGCTGCCAGACCTGCTGAGCTTTTCCAGCAACTTCTGTTTTTGTTCCTGATTTACAGCATCCGCAGTTGTTTCGGTTTTTATTTTAAAGACCTGAGGATGCTGGAGATCTGAAACAAAGACAGAAAGTGCTGGAGAAACTCAGCAGCTCCGACAGCATCTGTGTGAAGAAAGCAGAGTTAGCGTTTCAAGCCCAGTGACTTTTCATCACACAGTTCTGATGAAGACTCACTGGACTTTTAAAGTTTGATTCTGCTTTCTTCCCACAGATGCTGCCTGACCTGCTGAGTTTTGCTAGCACTTTTTGACTTTGTCCCTTACCCCCACTCGCTTTTCCTGCCCATGAGCCAATTCTCTATCCATGCCAATGTCCTATCTCCAACACTATGGGCTCTTATCTTATGACTTAACCTTTTGTGAGATACCTTGGTGAATGCCTTCTGATAGTCCAAATACAACACATCTACTGGTTCCCCTTATCCACTCTGGTCGAAACTTCATTACATTAGTCAGACATGATGTTGCTTTTGTGAATTATCAAACCCTCCATTAAAATTAAAGACCCAACACATAAGGAAAGCATCAATTTCTAAGAAACCACAATATTTAAATTGGCAGAAGACAACAGGCATAAGTTAACAAAGTTTGTTTTTACAGTAACTGACACACACTAAAAGCCATCTGCTAAACACACCTTCCACAAACTGGTCTCTCTGCTCCTATGATGCTGCTTGGCCTGCTGTATTCATCCAGCCCTGCACCTTGTTGTCTCAGGTCATAGTTAATCTGCTTTGATCATATATGGACAAAGCTACAACAATTCAACCAGGATGTTACAATCTTTTGTACTGCATCTTAAATCTCAATCTTCAATATGATTTCAACAATTGATGTACAGTGTTTATTATAAAGCATCCAGGACATAGAGGTCCATCTACCTGTTCCACAAAACTTAGTCTGCCTTAAACGAGAGATTCCACATTCATTCACCACGAATTCCTTAGTTCAGCTGTTTCTAGCTCCCACGTTGCTGAGCATTTCTTGTTGACAAGTTTAAAACGATTCTTTATCCTTTGCAGGCTCATTATCTCCCATTGCCTGACTACAGCCCCCTCCTCCGCTCTCAATCAATCTTGTAGTCTTCTTCACTCCCCACCAGCCCATCCACTTGGAGCCTCCTTCTTCCAGCTGTCCTATAGCCAAGCCTTCCATACGTTCGCCTTCTCCCACACCTCCTTCTGCAGTTTTGAAGTTCTACACTGACATTGCAGTCTATATTCCTATGTCAGCAGCATCCATACATTCAATCCTAAACACATGACCTTTTTCTCAATTAGTTGAGGGATGTGGGCATCGCTGGCTGGTCCAGCATTTATAGCCCGTCCCTAGTTGCCCCCCTTGAGAAGGTGGTGGTGAGCTGCCTTCTTGAACCGCTGTGTTCCGCATGCTGTGGGTTGACCCACAATGTCCCTTAGGGAGGGAATTCCAGGATTTTGACCCAGCGACTGTGAAGTAACGGCGATATATTTCCAAGTCAGGATGGTGAGAGGCCTGGAGGGGAACTTGCAGGGGGTGGCATTCCCAAGTATCTGCTGCCCTTGTCTTTCTAGATGGAAGTGGTCGTGGGTTTGGAAGGTGCTGTCTGAGGATCTTTGGTGAATTTCTGCAGTGCATCTTGTAGATGGTACACACTGCTGCTATTTTGATGGAAGGCATGAATGTTGAAAGTGGCAAACGAGGTGCCATGATTTGCTTTGGATGGTGTCAAGCTTCTTGAATGTTGTTGGAGCTGCCCCCATCCAGGCAAGTGGTGAGTGCTCTATCACACTCCTGACTTGGGCCTTGTAGATGGTGGACAGGCTTTGGGGAGTCAGAAGGGGAGTTATTTCACGAGTCCAGTTGAGTTTCCAGTCAGTGGTGACCCCCAGGATGTTGATAGTCGGGGATTCAGTCATGGTCACGCCATGGAACATCAAGGATTCTCTTTTGTTGGAGATGGTCATTACTTGGCACTTGTATGGTGCAAACGTTTCTTGCCACTAAACTATGAGCCTTGGGAGGAGGCCACTCGGGAGGGATTTTCCACTCGGCACCTTTGGCACAAGATTGTTGCAAATGCTTCATCATGACTTTTGCCCTGCTGTACTGGGCTCTTCCATCACTGAGGACGGGGATATTTGTGGAGCCTCCTCCTCCAGTGAGTTATTTAATTGACCACCACGATTCACGACTGGATGTGGCAGGACTGCAGAGCTTAGATGTG